ATTGGTGTAGGGTCCTCTAACCATTTCGTTTTCTTTTTTGTTTTGCTATTTGTGTTTGTTGATTTATTGGCTAATCTTCAACAACATTGGCTAATCACTTTTATTTCTTCCCATTGGACCTGTTAATTTTCTGATGCTGTATCTGATTTTATAAAACTGGAATTTTCTTTCAGTTTCATGGGATGAATTGTTTGTAGAGTTTTTTTGGAGTTCCATTCATAACTAATAGATTATTAATTGTAAACTTGAATCCAAGTTATCACTTTAACCGGCTTATATTTGGTTACGTTTACATTTACTTCCACGCAACATATTATTCGATTTCATATCCGTTCACAACGACGTGACGAATCGAGATGAACCGCTGAATGTTTAATCGACAATTTTCTTTACAAAGTGCCACATATCGTTCACAATGCCAAACATTGTAAGATTCTTCTTCACAGCATGTACAAAATAAGCTAGAAAGCACATTTCATTAGTTTTGAGGACCATTGAACTCCCGTGCTGTGAGCTGCTCTATATTCAATGATGTATCAGAAATACCCTAAACCGGAGTAGGGTGGCTGTAAAATTGATCAAACGTGTCTATATTCTCGCAATGGTGTATTTCCACAAAGATAAGTCGCACACTGGTGCCATTTCTCGAAAAGCTGGCCAAAATTCATAATTTCATACGATTTTCAAAAAAAATTGGTATTCTTATGTTTTTGGGGGTGTAGAATTCTAAAATTTTATCAAAAATGCAAAATTCAAAATAGAGGATCTAATATCACTGATATAAACGTTGTCTTTAAGTTACTTTTTTGTGAAAATTGACTATTTTCCGACCTCGTTAATTTCAAAATGTTTTTGAAATTGATTATTTTGAAAATGTTATTTTTTCCGATTTTAGTAACGAACTCAGAATTTCTGCGTTTAGTAGGTCACGTAATTCAAATATATTGTCGAAAATAATAAAAGGAAACTGTGGATTATAAGTTTTGCTTAAAATAGAAAATGCTGTTTTATTCATACACTAATTACTGTTTTTATTTGTATTCTTATTTTGAATCATCAGAATCAGATATGCCAGTTATATCCTCTGAACTTAAATATATTATTTGTTCGGTATCCGAAATCGTCTCGAGCACCACAAGAGAAATATCTTTCTTCTTTCTGACAATTACTCCTAAAAGACTGTCAAATCATAACGGAGCAATTGTTAACGCAGCTTCCCGCGCTTCGTGTTTGTTGGAAGGTCGGGTTGGCGTTGGTGAATATTGCACGTATGTGCCAACTGATTGATGACGTGATGGTGATCGCACTTTATTTTCCGTAGTGATTATCGCGGACTGGACCACACTTGGTGTTTAACAACGTCGTATATCGCAAACGAGGCCTCTCTCAAGTATTGTCGAGTGTTTACTTAGAATCTGATTTCTCTGGTGATTTTGCTTATTATATAGGATTTTGTCAAGGTGGAGAGTTGACCTCATCGGCAAATCGTCGGCCTTTCATCCCCTAGAACCTCTCCCCCAGGTCCTCGAGCACTCCCCCGTGGTCCGCAGAGTGGGATGTAGGCGGAGAGGGAGAGACGGTCCCAAAAGGGGGTGTCAGCTCCGCGTGGCGATCTTGCCGAAACGTTGATTTTACGGGTTTATGGCATGTTTACTGTTACTGAACGTGCAGAGGCAAATACCGAGTCACCATGTGGCCCGCAGAAGTGGAGAATTTACGCGGCCATCAAGTAATGAACTGGATTTTCCCTCTACCTTGAATAGACTATTGTTGTCAAGGAAATCGTAGAAAAAGCTTCTCAAAAGTAACGTCGCCTGGAATCCGTGCCATAAACCCCAGTCAGTTAAACAGCAATAATCTTTGAAATATATTTTGATTCGTTTTCTTTCTAGATATTTTTTAACTATTAGCTCTTCTGTACACTTTACGTAGCTTATGGCACGATTCTAGCACTTCTTCTGTATAACATCCAATTGGTAGAACGCAGTCTTTTACTACAGAAGGCCCATAGATCAAAACTTTACGTATATACTGTGGGTGGCATGTAGTACCACAGATACAGTGATTCAAACAGTTTTGCTGTATCAATGCAATAGTTTTAAAATTTTGCATAAATAATAATTTTACCATAAGAAATAATAATTACTAGTAATAGAAATAATAATAATAATAATAAATATCAATTAATCTTCCACCGATTCCTACAATTGAAATATTTAACCAATAATAGTAACTATTGTACAAAAATGCATATACCATGCTCGTCGCACATTGGTCTCTATGTATAATAGCAAAACGGACACTGTAATGAAGTTTTGCGGTCTGCCCTGTACCCGCACAATTCACAAATATTATGTTCCCTAAATTAAGCCTTTTCATATTTTACTGATTCAACGTATGTATTTCTAAAATCGATGCTATTGCAGTTTTAACATCGGTCCGAAGAGTTGATTGCGTACATCGTTCTCGTAAAAAAGGTTCCACGAGGTGCATTGTCAAATTCTGTAGACCCCGTTTTGCTGTCCTTTTTGCGCCTTTCATTTTAACGAGGGACTGGCAACTGTGAAATATCCTGGAATTTACTGGTTACATGGTGATGGTTTTATATGTGAAATAGATAATGAATTGCAAAAACTGCAAGATAATGGTATTCAAACCAATTACACGTCACACTTTTATTTTGTATATAAAATTTGGACAAAAATAAAATATGTTCGATTGCAGTAAAAAATACATCATTGTTCCACATGGGGTCATTTGGACCCACAACTTACTTTCCATAATTGCCAGATACATGCCAACCAAAGTTTTAGCAGTTTAACAACTACAAACTAAAGAAATTTCAAATTAATACTACATTGTACACAGAATGGCATTAAGAGCGATACTTTGAAGATATCCCTCTCGGAAGTAAAATTGTGGGTCAGAATGACCCAGAGTGGCAACCGGGGGTTAAATCTGAGAAAACCCTCTACACCACAGACATAATCAAGCTTGTTTTATGAAAAATTAGAAAAATTAGAGGAATTTGGTTGGGAAAGAATGATCATCCGGCATACGTATTTAGCAAGTCTTTATTTAGTAACAATTTAATATAATGTGAGAGCGTGTCGTGTGTTCGCTAGGAACCCGAGAACTTAGAACCTACTTTTCTCCTCCGCCTCCTTCTTATATATTGTTTTAGATGGGCATAGCGCTCTATCGGGTGGAGCTTGTTTTCGTCAAAAACTATTTCCATTAGTTTTTGAGAAGCTCCTGGAACCTTCGCTACTTTTCTGACAGAGAAGTGAAAAACTTGGGTTTTCCTTAGGCACGCGAATTAGTCACCACGTGCTTGTTTTTTATCTTAGAAAGATTTGATAGCGGGCCATGTTTTATGGTAGTGGTATATTCGAGGGGCGCTGTATGACCGTCAGCCCCTCACGCGTTGTAAACTAATTTCGACAATTAAGGTTTTTAGCTTGCAGCAGTCGTAAAATGTCGAAGACGAATTCTTCGACATCTGCAAGTTTATTTTTACCAGCGACGACCACAAACCATGCTCTGCTACAATTATTTAAATGGAAAAAAATTATCAACTTCAGCAACGTCAAAAGTGTCTTGACACATTCGCTACCGGTGACGTGAATTCACGTCGTTTCAAATTCTGTTTCTGGTTGCCGTTGATATGAATTCACATCATTTCGTATGCTTTTTCTAGTTGCCATTGAGTTATTATATTTAACGGTTTCTTACAAGCCTGATATTTTAAGACTAATTTTATAATTTTTATCCCTGTTTTAATGACAGAAGTCTGCTGTAACCAGCTACAGAATTCCTTTATTTTAGCCGCAACCAGTAACAGAAGCGCGAAAAAATCGCCGGTAGCAAATGTATTAAACCCGGTATCCACTTGTTCCAAATACCCGTTGTGTATAACCGTTGCTGCGTGCACGTATCAAAATTTGATACGAAAATACGCAATAAGCTAGTTCGGGCATTTGTCGGTTTTTCGCTGTCGCGTCGCATCAAAGGAATGATACGGCACGTGACTGAGAATGAGCCAGTGTGGATGGGGAGCGTGTCATAGTTCCGTTGCA